GCTTGCTTTCGTGCGTCTGCATTAGAATTTATTGCTTCCAAAGTGGTCAAGAGGGCTCTTGTTGATCACAGGTCTCGCAAGTTGTTTCTAGCCGGCATGGCTGTCTGGAAGATTTGACGTCGCAGCTACACCTAGGCGAATACTTATTGTGCCCAAATGTCGCGATTCGTCATCCGTTGACCTCTAATAAGCGTGGAGTGAGATTAGCTACTTCTCATCGATTGGTACCTCAGCTTCCAACTGGATTCTACAGCAGAAAATACCAGCGGAAGCTACATTAATTTGAGTCGACTTAGTGGCGAACGAGTCCTTTTAATCATAAGTGCGGCGCATTTTCTGATCGAAAATCGTATAAACATTATTCTAAAATGTCGATTTTAATTACTGTAGTCCCTATTTTGCAAATAGTTGTGTTCTAAGTTCTGACTTAGCTGAAACGTTTTACCTGGTCTAATCAGATGAATCAGATGGGAGCAAGTTCGTGACGTCAATGCACGGCAATAGTCGCTATTGTGTGATCCGTGATCACAGCGCAGACTGTCAGCTGGACTTCAGCCGCGAATTAACTAATAATTCAATAATTGCTGTAATTTCGACATGATCAAGAAAATATTACTGTGTCGGTAAATATGCTAGCTAAGCTATGGGTAAGCCGTGAAAAGGAGCCTTCGTCGCCAGGACTGTGGAATTGATCATGCATTGTTAGGCACTGTGACCTATATATGAAAGGAGTAAATGTGCCATTAGGGCACGGCAGTCCTAAACATGAAGAAGAGTGATCAGCTCCTTCTTTTTTGAGACGTCTTAGGTATCATATTCATCAATAACTTTATTAATTCAAAAAATGTTACTCACATCGGAGTCGTTCGTTGACCATCGTCCAAGAGTAGATTTGGGAATTACTGGACGAAGGAATGCAGAGGGAAGTAAGGTGTTGGGAGGGAAATAGGGGTAAATTGAAGAAAAATCCCAGAAGAAACTAAATTTCGAAGTTTTCCGAAAAAAATGATTTGTCTATGTGTTTTACAAGCTTGTTAAAAGTTGAAAACGAAATCCCGCCGGGACTTTCATAACAGACAAGAGATTGTGCTGCCTTTTACCTGAAGGGGTGCAGTGGTGTCTTTACTAATACATAAGACAGTCTATACATAGTTTATTAACTTTATATTATATTACATGGGTGGGGAAAAGGGGCACGAAAAGGAACGGCCTAGTCGCCGGCCGGCGGGCCGCGCAGCGGCCCGGCGGCGCGCAGACTCCAATTCTAGTCTCCTACATACAGCTGATTCCAGAGCGTGGGTGACCTTTGCAGGAGACACACTAGGTTCCATACGACACGGTGCTGGATGTTAAACTTCCACTCTACCTTTCAAAGATACCAGTCTAAATATTCGGTCTCCCTTAAATGCACTTGTATTTGAGAAAAAAGCAGAAACACTACAAATAACATGGAAACTGAATTGCTGCGGCTCGCCTCCGTCCTCCGCTGCTTCCTGATTGTCCTCGGACCATTCCATGAAACCGAACGGGTTGCCCTCGGATCGCTTCAGGTGGGGTGACAGGATGTTGTCTTTGGCAATCGTTTCATCAAGCAGATAGTCTATAAAGAAAAAAATATTTTCAATGTATTCTAAATCATGGGAAAGTTATATCATATCAAAAATTAATCAGGAGCCCATTGCCCGCCACAGCACTGACGGTCCCTCCTCCGGTCGCTTCGTCGCGGCCCCATGGATTTCTAGTCCTGCCGGTGCTGAACTCAAACCTCCAGCCCATGTCGAAGAGACCACTCAATGTACAGGTTATTAACCTGGAGGTGTGTAACGGTAGGTATAACTATGTATAATCATGATAGCCTAATAAATTATTCAATACATTGTAATGAGGGGTAAGAGACTGAGAAAAGGGGAGAGTCCAGAGACTGAACTCTCGAGGAGGACGAGGTGGCTGGAGGCTCCTGCTCTCGACTGGCAGCTGCCTTAGTAGGCTTCGCCGTTGCGTGATCGTGACATGCTATGCCACCTCTCATAGCTGACCCGCCTGACGGCGTGGGCATGACATTCGTACACGAGTGCTGATTTCTTAGCGATTTCGTTTCCCACTGCCATGATGCGTCTTTTAGCCCAGCTGCGAATTGGTCCGTGAAGTCGTCTGATGCGAACACGACTCGTGTGGTAGTTCGTAAAACATCACCCCCACATGATCGGACGTCTAACAGTGACGCACCGAAAAAGAATTGGACAAACCCGTACAAGCTGTAGTAGTGTTTGTGCTACAGTTATAAGCAAAAACAATGGGTTGTGAAAAATCAGACCAAGATCTCTTACAGTAGTATGCTGTTAAGGAATATGTGATCACTTCGGCTACTCTTTCTTCTTGCTCTTTCGCTTTTGATTAAATCTGGTTTGAAGATGTTGGAATGCTTACTATTTTATTAATTTTTGAGAAAATTTCATAAAACAATATACTTTGAACCATAGCCGGAAATGATTTCCATAATATCCCATCTTACGGAATGGCATCATTTGCCTGTGTCAATTACTGACTCTGATATTTTGATCTGATAACGGATGGCAAATCACACATCCACTGAAAGCACCGTTATTGAAATAAACTTACTTCCATCCACGCACTGTGACAGGGGCCCGAAGATGTCAGTGCGAACGAGTAGGGAGGGGGGGGGGGGACGAAAGGTCTTTACAGTTAGCGGAAATGGCCCATATTTCACGATATATTATGTGATTAACTCTCTTTGACACATGGACAGGTAACTGATAGGCATATGTAAGTTGAGACATTCTGATAGAAAGTTCGCCAAAACTATTTCTTCTTAACAGTTTTGTATGTTTTGTTTATATCGAACAGAGATCCAAGGAGTGGATTGCCGTGAAATATATCAAGTATCTGAGTTTGCTTGGTTGTGACCAGTATGGGTGCGGAAGACTTGGGTTTGGTGACCCTTTTTGGATAACAAGCAGAGTGGTTCAGTGGATATCTCGATCGTGAGATACAGAAGTATTCCCCGCGGGGCCTCCCAACGCGACAGAAAATCAAGAGTGCTGGGCAAATAGGAATATACTCCGCACTCCGCCTCTCGAGAAGGTACTCGAGAAAGAGGGGTAGTCTACTAAAGTACTAAGGGGTCGTCGTGGACGACTGGTTGTATCCAGAATAATCCATTTCGCTTTGTCGGGTATAATATAACATGAGTATTTTTGGCCAGCTTCATTGAAACCAACCAATATGACAATAACCTTTATTCGGCTGTAACGTTCGGCCTTGTCCGCCTTTCGTTGCGAGGAGCCTGGACAAGGCTAAGAGATAAGTTAGACTCATTCTTCCAAACACCATTTAAAAACTTGAGAACAGCCCCATAGACCAATGGCTTCAGGAAGGCATCGTAAACAGAACACTTGGACCCACCTTAAGAGACGCCGGAGTTGATTGTCGACCACCACTAATCTGACTCGCAGTGGTGGCTTCAGATGACTTGGCCTCTCGGCATGAAGCCGAAGGCAAACGAAGACCACGAAGGTTAGAAAATGGCGCGAAGTTCGTTAGTTATGGCTAGGCACTCGTCTTTCCCAAGGAGTTGTTATGACTGAGATTACAGCATATTCCTACTTTTCAGGGCTGTCATTTTACGGTCATGGCATAAGGTTCAAAAGGAGCTCCAGCCATATTTCAACGAGTCCAGTGGTGTAATTCGAGAACTATGACGCGTTATTCGATTACTGACGATACCATAATTGCGGCCAATTAATTAGCCAATATCCGGTCGACCTGAAAGAAAATAACCAATTCATTTGAATCAACAGCCCACGAGGTTGATAATGATTCCGTCGGCTAACGTTTCGGCGATTTCGCCTTCTTCGGAGCCTAAAAAGGTGGAAACCAATTCACGATTTATCCGACCAAATGTCTCCTACCCTACGAGACCTTCGAGACCAGCTAAGCCATCACATAATTAATAGGCAGATAAAGTACCGTACCTTCCAGATCAGCGGAATCAGCTCACAGGAACGACAGTATAGCGGATATCAGACTGATCAGAGTTCAGGGTTCCGGCTGGAAGGCTAACCTTATATAGGGGGTTAGTTCCCGCGTTATTGACACACATTCTCCCCTGCGGTTCATTTTTGGACCGGATCCAGAATGCCTCCAGGGTTTTGCGCGCGGCTGTCTGGGTTTCGCGCGCCATGACCTCGACGATGACCCCAAAATCGTCTCCGTTATGAGATTCCACCCTATGGCAACCTAGAGCAGTGGATAGCCGCGACCTAGCCTTTCCCTCCAAATGCTCCTTAACACGCACATGAAGAGGTCTAGCCGTCCCCTATACATCCTTCTCCACAGATTTGGCAAACGATCTTGTAGACCACACCTGCAATGGCGCAGTCCCCCTCATTGCCGCTGGGACAGACCACGAAGTTAACGCAAGTGCAATCATAGAGACGATTTCGAAGTAGACGGTGCTAGAAGGAATATCCACAAGGGTCAACAGTGTTTTCCAAACCCGATCTCTTCAGACACTTCCTTATAGAAGCGCTCACTTCATTAGAGATAAAAGGTACCATGAAGGGGATTTTCCCATTCAAGGGACCTCCACCAGGTCTGTTGGCTGTATCCCTTGTCGTGGTCCTGCGTGAAGTTGAAGAACGTTGGTAGCCATTGAGCTCAGCAATTTTCTGTGCCACTTCCACGGACTCTTTTCTCTCATCCCCTCCAGTGGAGACTTTTATTGCGGTTCGGAACATGCTTCTGACCACCGCTCGTTTTGTCTGAAGAGGGTGCGCTGACCGCCAGTGAAGAATGATTCTTTATTGCTGGGCTTTCTGTACCATTTTGTGACAAAGTTACACCCCTTGAGCCTATTTGGACGTTGAGGAACGAAAGCCAGCTCTCGGAAGGTTTCTCACGAGTGAGCTTGATAAGCTCGGATTGTTCATTGATAAGGTCGAAGCATTTGTCCATCTCCCCTTGTGTGGAGCAGACCACGAAGCAGTCGTCGATGTATCGGCAGTACAGCATGGCAAAACGTTCTAAAACGGGCGTTTCTATTTTAGCCATGAAAGCAATGGCCAAACTAGGCGCTAGTCGTTGTCCCACGACCAATCCTCTAGTCTGCGCGAAGTATTTTCCCAACTACTTGAATACGTTACAGCTGACGCATTTCTTCAGAAGCACCATACAGAAAGCCAATTCATGTTAACTGCGTGATAGTGTTGAATGAGATGCTTCAACACGTCCTCCAAAGCCGATGAGTTACCTACGTTGATGTAGAGGGCTTCCACATCGAATGATTCCATGACACAAGTGCCGTTGAAGCGCACTCTTTTAAGGTGGCTCAGAAACATCTGAGTGCTGGCAAGGGCGATAGATTGTTACGTAACAACTTGTGTCAAGATGTATGTTCAGGAGCCACGCGATCCCTGTCAGTGGACTTCCACGCGTTTAACTATGAGGTCTAACCTTGCCTGAAGAAGGGCGTGGATTGAGGCCGATCGTAGGTGAAATTTAACGGTGTGCTGTGGCAGGTAAAGTACGGAGTGATTCTACTTTGAGAGTTAATCATATTAGAGTCCAGACCTGCTGGCTTCACCACCGTGACCCATTCTCGATTTAACCTTGGGTACTGTGACTGAAACTCTTTGGCTGAAGACGGCCGGTAGAGGGAGTGGTCTCGCGAGTGGCCGTTCCTGTTATGCGTGTTGCGAGTTGACCGAGGAATGCCCGCAAAGCTCGCACTGCCTTGTCCCTGACGGACAGCCTTATGGTTCGAGATTTGACCAAGCCTTGAAGCTCTTTTATTCCCTCTGCTTGCTCGTGTGACAGGTTAGATGGCAGTAGGCTAAAAGAAAGTATTTCAAAGTGTGAAAGCATTTGGAATGAAGCCAGCTCTGAAAAAATGCTCACTCCTTCAATGAAGTGAAATGGTATCCTGGGGATTCTAAATAGCATAAATATACTCGTCCCAACCCAGTAAGGGTAGCAAGCATCGCAACTAACCTTCCTTTCAAAAAGAAAGTGTCGGGTGCAGACACCACAACTGACGACGGCCTCCAAGTAAATCTGGTTAGAAGTTGTTCATAGTGATAGCTGATTTCTGGTAAATGATAGTTGTAATTAGTGACAATCGATAGAATACAACTGCAACAGGCTAATCATTTCATTGGCAGAAAACATTAACATTTTGTGAAGGCCGTCGTCACTTGTGGTGCATGGTCTGCACCCGACACTTTCTCGCTTTCTGAAGGGGAGGGTATCTCTAATCCTACAAATTGTTCAACCCGTGAAATCATTTCTAGGAGGTGCTTATTACTTTCGCTGCTGTTTGGTGCGAGCTTTTCCATCACCTGTCTTCGCCCTCAATTGGGCCTCATCAACTGAAAGACATGGAAGAAAATTGCAGTTTCTAGTAGAAATCGCTTTGTATTTCTGGTAATACAGCGTAAGATCAGATGGAGGTGAAAGAATTTCGGAAAAGATTCAAAGTTTCCCCACGAACTTCCCAAAACAATTTCCTATTGAAACTTTTGAGAAATTTCAGAGAACTTCTCGGGATTTTCACGCAATTTAGTGAAAAGCATTTTTCGGGTGGGGACAGGAGCGGTCTAAATAAGTCGTGCAAGCCAAATTTCCTCGGCACGTGGCCCACAACCAGATCGCAGCCGAACACCCGTTTAAATTTTTCGACTTCGCGCCGCTAGACGGCGTCGGGCGCGAACGGGGCGGATTTCGAAATTTCGAAAGCGCTCTCGGTTGAAAACGATTGCTGAATTTGCCCGAGATTCGTTGTCTACATTATCACTGATAAGTGTTCAGCAAGTAATCTCGCACTCCATACGAATTTGACATCTGGCCGCCGTCAATCAATTTTCTATGTATTCCTCGTCAAGTTCTCTTCAATAATTCCTTCTTGCCTCGTTGAGCTCGTTAATGCAGTCAAATTCGTACATTTGATTAGTGTACTTTCTTCAGACTCCTCAATTCACGTGATTATTCCGATTTCATTCCTCACAATTCTTGACTAAAACAGGATGTCGAAATCAAAGGAAATGTCTTCAATAGATGAATAGTAAAGGGTAAGATTTGAATAAGCGGTACCTGCTGAGCTCCCACTTTTTGTTATATGCGATAAACTCAACGCAAACTCCATCCAACAGGTATCGCTTGGGTTTGTCCAAGTGGGAGTCGTTCCGTATTTAATCAAAAGTCAAGTTCCCCTTAGTTCTCCTTGATGCCGCACTAAAACAAGTCCACGATTGGTCTCTTCTATGCTAGTCATCCTCTATCAGCTTACAAATTCAAGTTACCCCCATCTCTCAATCGATCGAAATGGCCACCATTTTGGCTGCACCAACTGGGGGTGCATAAGCGGTGGGGTATTCCAGTTAGGGGGCATCATGATGCAGTTTCTCGGCGAGCTAATGTAAACTCGAACATTCCAGCTTCTCACGCATGTCAAGTGACTGCCCTCACTTCCCCTCACCCCCCTAGGCTGGCTACACTCCCCCTGGCTCAGAGCGGTCGCGAATGACCCAAGTCGGTGTATTCCGTGGGAGATACTGAAAGTCTCTGATTCATTCTTCAAATTTTCCACGTTTCTTGTTTCCTTTAAGGGATTGTTTGATTTTTAAGGCACCCTTATTGCAACTGTCAGATCAGCGCTTATCACATCATAGGAAGACTAAGGCTGCAGTAGGTGCTCAAGGTTTAGAGTTGAAGCGTATCAAGAGTAGGAATTTTTTATGTTCAAATCACAAGACCTAAAGCGAGAGGTGCGGGTTCTGGTCCCGCCTGGGGCGAAAGTTTTGTTCACAACCCAGCATTCTTGTGAAACAGGACCTAAAGTTATTTGGCTTAGCGATTCTGTTGATCAAACATTGCTTCAAGTTAAACAACAACTGCCTTGAAAATAGTTTGATAAGTGAAGTAGATTTGTTGTTCAAGCGCATCAAGGAACGCGTTCGACAAAGAAATATGGAGTTGAGCGCATCAATGGAAAACACCAAGGAGAATTTCGAAGTTTCTGCACTCAGCGGCTGTGGAGGTATTGTTCTTTGGTTTTTTTCAAGATATAACGGCAGCTCTTTAAATTTCCATAATCAGTAATTATTGAAAATATTTCATACCCCATTTTCTTTTCGAAAGCGGGTCCGGGTCTAAATCTCACATTAAAATGTGTATGTGGCAATAGATCGTTTTCTTAGGAGTGTAAAACGCTGTTCTCTACATTTTGGGCTTGTTCTTTGATTTTTTTTTCCAGTCCTCATAACTTTTTTGTCGCTTGTTCTTGAAACAATGCAAATGTTTCAGACAAATCTTCGCAAACCACAGAATCCGAAATTAGCGTCGCAAAGGATGTTCTTATGGTATGTTTTGTATGTTTTGAATGCATATATAAATGGAATCGAGATTTGTAATAATTTCCTGCCATCTCTTTTGTTTTTAAGGAATCCCCGCTGAAGAACAGGACCAATAACGACACCACTCCGAACGAACCATCGAGCGAGGCTAGGAAAACGCCCTCGACACGGATGAAGTCGCGCTTTTCTGAGCTCGCAGCAGAGTAATGAAAATTTCGAAGTTGACCTCAATTGGCAGCAGGCGGGTTCAAAACCGAAGGAGGCCTACATGAAAGGAGCATCTCCGCGGCTCAGCATTGGCGAGGTAAATGGGTCGTGTTGCTATAATTTTCCCTTTACGTTGTACTGTTTTAGCTGTAACATGTTAATTGTTGCCATACACTACTCATGAAATCAGTAAATATCACTAAACTGTAATTTGTATGGTTTTGATTTATGAGTTCTCTAGGCCACATCTCACCGCGTTTTAATGTTTTTTTTTGTCTTGGATCAATCTCCTACTTCAGTCACGCATTTTCAGACGAGACCATCCGTTCTGTGCACTCCGGCCGGAATGGCTCAACTAAAGTCTAGCGCTACAAAGTCGCCTGGCAGTCGTGAAACATCACCAGTAAAGCAAGCCACTACTGTCGTTTGTAACAAATGTGTGTCCTTTCTCTGAAAAAAGTGACTTTAATGAAAAAACGTAGTTTCAATTTAATTGATTCATCAATTAAATTCCAGCTCCACAAAAGTTGGAATCCGTCAAGGAGGAGCCTCGGCGCATTCATTTTGCGCATCCAATTGCTGCCACGCAGATAGTAGAGTACGAATCATCGATGTGCACAACAGTGGTGAGTCTTTTGATTTGTACTTTCGAGCTTTTCTGTTCGAAGTAAGCTGTTGAAAGTGATCGTCTGGTGAAACAGCCTTGTGCTCGCCTGCCCTTGCTGGGATTGTGCATTCATAACTATCTCCGAGATCGTTGTACCACTCAATTTGTTGATACACTGACTAGTTCCTAAACAGGTATTGCGTCATAATGAGTTAGAGGGCTAGATGTATGAGTCGATCAGAAGTGGTCCACCGGACCTCTAGGGTCAACCATTGTTCTATAGAACAGCGGGCTAAAACGGAGATATCAATATGAATGATAACTCTCAATCTTGTTTTCATTTCTTCGCTTTATCTTCAGTTCTCCCAGCTCCTAACTTCTCATTGTTTAGTTTCATTTGCTACTGACTGGTCATTATTTTCTAAGACTTATGCATGTCGAAGTTCAACACATTAAGTAGTTGTTCTGGTTACACCTTCAGGAGAATTTTTGTAAGTTTTCAAAACTGTAATCTAATTGGTATTTCACTGAAGAGTAGAATACTAGATTATTACGTCTTTTGATAGAATACCAGATTATCAAGCCTTTTGTGGCAAAGCGCTATCCTCTGGTTCTACGTATAGCATCACAAAGGGCACGCAGTACTTGGCGCTCACGTCGTTGGGGAGGGGGGGGGTGAGCACACTTGGGACTGAACCTCAGGAGGGAGGGGAATTCGGGGTGGGGGAGGCATGTGAGCAGATTGTGTTCTCCTTAGCGTTTTCCCCTCTCTTGGGCTTACTCCTAGTGTCACCTACCATTGACCCTGATTCGAATATTCCGCTTCCCTCCCAAGGACATGAGCGCCTTTGATCTTGACGGCGAACGTAAAGCAGTCGTGAAAGAGCTATTCCTTGCGATTTCGATTGCTCGAGTTTTGTTTCAGAACACCATTGACGAAAGCAGTATTGTGGCTGGTTGTGGAATGCACGATAGTGTTCACGCTCTTCCGATTCCGGCCACTAGAATGTTCCGCAACAATAAGGATGGCGAGGTTGATTTGTCAAGTGATGAATATGGAGCACATACTTTCCAAAAGAAGGTACGGTTGCACAGGAGGAAGTGGATGGATTCTGAGAGACGCCTGCTTTCATGTATACGCTAGCATTTTAGACTACCACTGAGAACTTAAAGGACAAGGATGGGGAGGTTGATATGTCTAGTGATGAATATGGAGCACACGCGTTTCTTAAGAAGGCGAGTGAAGAGCATTTTCTCACAGTTCTCATTTTTCTGCTACTATGTGAACTCTCACACTTTGTGTCTCTTTTGTCTTTCTGCTGACTCAGTTATCCAGAACGTTTTTGTAAATGGGGGTCATTTCAGAAGGCAAGCACACCACCAAAGTGCTCATCAGCATCATCGTTGGCAATCATGTCGCCGAAACCCTTTGTAAGTTTGAAATTTTCTGCTTGTGTTGTAGCATGTGCTGTCGCTTTTCGTGCATGCTTCCACTCCATACAGCCCTGTCTTCTTCAATGTTCCGAGACACTGTTTAGTACGTAAGTATAGGAGTGCGGTACGGATGCCGAACAACCAGTTAATGGAAAGCGGGCAGTGCGCCGCTGATTAACTGACCGTCTGAGGTCCGCATCGGACTGTTCTATCTGCACCGTAAATATGAACATTTATATGGTGAACGAAAATATTGTCGCTATAGCAAATATGTGGGTATAGATGGTTGGTTTACGGACTACTTGATTTTTCCTCAATGGTCCTGCCGCGATGGCTAGAGCACAGACGATTAGAGAACGGGTGAATGCCCTAGGACTAAGCCTTGGAGAGGAGAGGGACCCGCGAGAGAGCGCAGACTTAAAGGGCTGAGTTCAAGTAGTCCGTCGACCAATTTCCATGCGTGGTTCGCTAAGACAGGAAGCGGATTTCCGCCTTTCACTGCGAGAACCCTTGATCCACTCTTGATCACTGTTGAACCTGAGGCTTCCACAGCCAAAAAACATTTGTGCAACGAAAAGCGGGGAAGTCGGTTTCTGTCCTAGCGAACCACACCCAAGATCTCCTTCCTGTTGAAATCGGGACAAACTGGGCGGAGAGGAGAGCTTTCAGTGAGCGTGAACAGTTTCTATCCCCGAATTTCCTATCCCCTTCTAGGTTTAGTTCTAGAGAGTGCCCTCGTATTATGCGCATGAACTGAAAATTCATTTGTAAACGCTTTTAAGAAACTTAGGGACCTATTTTTGAGGGGGATGGGATAAAAAGACGTAACGCTACGAAGTTAGCTTCAGTTTTTTGGCAAATGGAAACTAAACCATGTTTCGAAATGAGTCCAGAGTTTTTCCATTGATTCGTGGTAACTATCCGAACACTGTTCGTGCTTGGAAAATTCTCGCTAGAAACTCTGCTTAAATGCCTTACTAGTGTGAGCTGAAGTGTAGCTGTAATAATTCTACTATTCATATACCAAAAACTACTAATTTCACTAACGTGCTTTATGTGCTTATTACAAACGTGAATGTATCAGTGTCTGCTTTACCTCATCGCTTTGGCTTTAGGTGCGTAGTGCCAGTCAAACCCAATTCTCACCGGTGCACTTTGTGAGTTTCGCGTCAATTCTTTGCTTTTTTATCATAATCATAATAACAATGCTTAGCACATGTATGGTGAAGTTATAATTTGGTGTGCACAATAACTTTTTGGTGTCCCATTATATTTGTAATGTCTTATGATCTTGAAATGTAGAAATTTTGCAGAATCCTGTCACTACGTCGTCTCCTAACTGCGAAACGCAAACCATTAGAGTGGAAAAGCAGATGACAACGGAAATCCGTGAGTGTAACAGATCTCTCCCATCTTGCCATTTCTGCTAAATCGGTCGTGCATTCGTCGAGTGTCTAAAGGGCGAGTCAGGAGGGGCTTCTAACTTTCCGTCGGAATCATAGCAAATTTTGAATTCATCAACGCGAGAATGTTTTTCAGCTCTAACTGATGTGAATCTACGTTCGACAGAGAAGCGTAAAGATTTTGTCAATGATTTGGAGGACCGTGCTAAAAAGGCTACGAGCTGCCCTGGAAGCAACATGACCACAAAGTCGCCATCTTGGAAGGTATAAATCAAAAATTTCTATCTGGTTTACTGAGTAAGGCCAGGCTATAAATAAATTCATGCGGTAAGATGCGCGGTTCTGCAGTTTTACGTCGCCTGCAATTATGGAGGTTCGAAGTAAGTTTCAAATACAGTGCAGAAGAGTATTTTCTTTTCTGCTTTTTCTTTGGACACCATTGAATAGCTTCGTGTTTTCATTTTCTGTATTCAGAATGCCATCTTACTACCTTTTTGAATCTTTATACACCTACCTTTTTGAATCTTTATTTTCCAAAGCGGTCTACCAAAAATAGATGGTGCATCATATTTCCTAAAAAATATATGAGTTTTGTAGTTATGTCTTTTGGCGTTTATATTTCTTCTGTGTCCCCTCTTTTTTCACAAATGCTGCGCTTCAGTTGCTGCAGAAATAGCTTTTTGAATTGGATTTCAGCAGTCTGTGTACGAATCGCGATCGTCGAAGAACTAATGCGCAGTACTTATGATTGGAGCGCTTTATTGTTTGCATGTTGTGTTTATGAAGCAAACTTTCTGTCGATTCGGTTTTCCCTTTCATCCGTGTTTCAGCGCGTAGCCGAGCAGAACGAAAATGCCGCGACGAAAGAGGTGTCGCCCATCCGCTCGGCCGTTTTGGAAGCAGCTCCAGCAAAAAGAATCGCGCAGCAGCTTGAGGAGCGTCTCAAGAACATTCAGGCGAAGGTTTGTTAGTAATAGTTTGAGACTACTACTCTAGGAAATACAATACCTATTTTGTAGATCCCTACTCCAAAACCGATCATCACTGCACCAGCAACAGCTTCAGCTGCCCCCATAACCCCGACTACACCCGGCGTGCAAACGCAATGGCGCGGCAGTCATAATACTCCTGTTGTGATAGGTAGCACACCAGGTGTGCCTATTCATCCTGAAGTCTGCTCAAGCAACTTGAAGTCGTTAAAGTCGCGGTGGGAGGTGCGTGACAGTTCGCAGTCACTCTATTCAGTTACACGGTCGCAAACTATTCTTTGCAATTTAGTTCTCCTCGTTGACGGGTACACCGTTACACCCTGATGAAACTGAGGACGATATCCTGAAGGCTGCTATTCGTATGCGAGACAGAACGATGCCACGTAGATTCGACGACAAGCCTAGAGATCCACAACCTTATCTAGCGAAGAAGATTGAGAAAAGCGTTCAGGAAGCTAATAAGGTATAATTGGATTTCCATTATCTCTAAAACGTGCATTATTCTTGGCCATTACTGTTCAGCGCTCTTCCTTGTGTTCACCTGTGTCGAAGAGTCCACGTTATGTGGACGAATCTGATGAGGGTGAGGATGGCAGAGGTGACTCCAAGGTACTCTGTTGTACTTTTATTTGTCTTGCAGTCCTCAGATGGCAATAGTTGTTTCTAGAACAAATCGATTTTGAAAAACGCATACTCTCCATACAAGTCACCTGCCATCAAGATGGCACAGCGAAAATCACCCGGGCGTTCACCGAAGTCACCGATGCGCCTAGAACGTCCTGATACGCCGGAAGAGGCTAATCTGTTCGGTGATGATGAGGTTTGTCATTTGAGTGTCTTATATGGAATTAGGCCGCTCTTTGGAGCTGACCTTGTATATTTTTTGAGTCCGACAGAAGTTTTTGGAGAATAACATAGAGTTTATTCTAGTTGTCCCTAGTTTTTGGATCATCCTCATGGAGCAGCGCGTTTTGAGTTCGACAGAACTTTTTGGAGAATAACATAGAGTTTATTCCAGTTGTCCCTAGTTTTTGGATGTCCTATCCTCATGAGTCAAGCAAGCTTGTATGAGCGTGTGCGCCCCATTTTGCAATATTGAGTCCCAAGCCATTGAAACCGGCGGGAGCACTGACAATTTGAAGTGAACCACTAGAGAGTGGATTAGAGCTCTATTCTAAAGTTTAAATTGAAGCTGCGCTAAGCTCTGCTCAACGATGATAGTGTTGTGCCCTCCGTCAGAAAGGCGAGTAGAAGTCATAACCTATAGTGAATTCTTCAAGCACAGCTAGACAAGTTAGAAAAGGCGATGAGATGAACGTTACCAGTCAATAGGCGTACACAATCTCAATTCGATCAGGGCGCCTTCGAGTTTCATAAACGGAGAATACACGCCAAAACAAGTGCGCTGCGACCCACTCCCCAATGAAGTCTGGAACTACAATAATGTGGCATTTCCGCGTATCTGAAAATAGGTGAGTTCTGCAAGAGTATCTGAAAATTTCTTTGGCTTTACCGATAAACATAATATTAGTCTAGGAATATTGGGAACCTTGTTGACAAGAAAGCTCATTTTCGGTGCTGATAAATATGTACTAATCTCAGGGTTGAGGAACGAAAAGCATACGAAAAAGTGGGTCTGGGACAGGACTATATTCGCCAGTGAAAATGGCAGCCAGGTGGCAAATGAAGTGAGGTGTGGCGTTCCAGCAGTGAAACATGCGCTATCTGTATTAAAGTCAGGCTCCTAATCTGACCGTCCTTGCCTCTTTTGAAACTGCCCGCCCAGAGCGTGGTTGTTGAGGTTAAGACGTTGTTAACATTAGCGCTCAATTTCCATTCAAATGCATTTCGCATCAAACGACCTTTTTTCACTCTTATATTCTATCGGGCAACGCTTCCACAAACGGCCAGCCTCTAAGCGGTTTTTCCGTGTTGATGGGCGGGGTCAGGGTTCCTGTGACGGGTTATCCAGCGCAGTACCCTTTCGTACCCCTTTTCATATTTGGTAATCATTGAATGGACAGTGCGTTGTAAGTAATGATGGCTTACTCTAATTCATTGCTGATGGTTTAGGAGTACTTCTCTCCAATGAAGAAGCAAGCAGTTTCGTTGCCAGCTCCTCGTGAGGTATATGATTCTCCTTACGAAGAGCCCGCAGTCGCTACTGCACGTGAAGAAATGGATTCGCCCAAACGCGACGGTCAGTTTTACCGTCAGTGTGCTATCTCGTGACAACTGTGCAAAATGCTGAAGTTCAGGTTCGTCGCTTCCGTATACGGTTTCGTTTTACCGTAAACGCATACGCGAAATGCGGACAGCTGACTCTGGAGTAGAGAAAATCGACTTAACAACCGACGTTGCAACTGCCCCGATCCAGACAGTAATCGGAGGCGCCGTGCATGAAGATACTGATGAGGATGATGCAGCTAGGCAGGAGAGAAGGGTGAGCCGTTACAGCAGTCATACATAGCCTGGTTTTATTTGCAAGGTAAATTCTGTACTGCCTAATTCACCCATGTTAGGCTGCGATGGAACGTGAAGTGAATATACAGCAACAACGAATAGCCCAAGCTATGCATGCTTTGCGTTACTGCAAAGAACAGACCGAGTTCCGTGGAAGTCGCGAAGAGGTGAGTGAATATTTTCTTCAGACGCTTCCACCTTTGTGTTAGGCCTCCCGACACATGGTTGGCAAAAACCTACCGTAATCTCTTCATACGGCTATTATTAGCTACTGTTTGCATAGGTTGATGCCCAACGTGCCCTCCTTATTGCCACTGAAACAAGACGTGCTCTGCTGTTTGAAATTGATCGGCTCAACCGGGGACTGCCGAAAGGGTTTGTGCCATAAATCCTATTTCTGAGCGAGGTCGCTAGAAGTTTTCTTTATAGAGGTCCTGGTCCTCGCGGAACACTTACGATTACCAGCATTAACGTGCTTCTCGATCAAGACTTTGTGAACTCACAGCTCAATTATCCCTCTAACCGGAGTAAGTCGTTACTGTTATTGCATGTTATATCGAACTTTACTGAAGGTTTTGCTCTTATAAGACGACATATACTACTTCATTGTTCTTCTTCGATATGGCTGCGAGGTCCAACATACCTCTTTGGTGACAAGCGATGAAGGTTTGCGAAAGAAGGTGTGTTTTCGTTTTCTCACGTAAACGTTAGTTTTTATTTTATGTCTTTTCGAAAATTACATAAAACGATTTCAGGGTGTGCTTGAGTTCAATTATTATTATCTTTCGCTCAAGGATCTACCTCCAGATTTTGTGTGCGCTCTTGAAGTTTTTGGCCTTGTGAGTATCTTTTGCATGTATTTTTAGAAGTTTTTTTTTCCCTTACAACGATTTTGCCTCTTTTTCTAAGTTCTTGAATTTGTTTTTTATCTACGCGCCTTACGGTGTATTTGCAATGCCCATCTCTTGCTGTATACATCATTAACAAACTAGCAGCTTTATCAGGGATACATTTCATTTCAGAGAACAAAACGCGAACATATCTCCCATGAGGTCAAGTATCGGCTCACTGGAACCCTTAGCAAGAAGGTATGTTCCACGATTACTAGAAGCGCATTCCTGTACTGAACCAAACATCGCTTTGTGAATTTTTTGCACCATTTAAATGTGTAACAAGTGAACAAGTTGCTTTTGCAGATTCTCGAAAAGCTCAGAGGCTCTGTAAGCACTTTTAATGTTCCTTTATTACTTTTTTCGGAAGTCAGCTTTCACTCTAAAAGGTTACAAAAGAACTGTTAGTGGCATCTATATTATATCTGCGTAAAGCAAGCGTCTCGCTGCTTACCGAAGTGCGTCTACACAGCCAGTAGTGAGAATGTGCCGTCCTTTATGTTTTAGGGACCATTGAAATTATTACTCACGTGTGCACTAATCTTTGCTTGTTCCTTTCTCTTCATTTCGAATGTCATTTAAATACTTCCTAGAATTGAGACGCACATTGTGCTGTCGACAAGTATGTCTCTAAATCGAACTAGAAAGCAAAATACGTGCCTATAAGGCACACCGTACGATGAACGTTTTGATCAAGTTTTATGAATTGCTTCCTGTTCGATCGACGTTGCGCAGCACAGACCCTCAATTCGTCTACAGCGAAACTTTTTCATTGTTTTCTATCAATCATGGCTTCGACGTTACCGTAGTGTGATCCCTCTATTTCTGTTGTAACATTCCCATGGACGTGCATCGTGCAGTGCCCTTCTAATAATTCCGAAGATTTCTTCCTGCCAGGCCCCTCCTATGAATTCTGGCTTTTTCTTCTTTCTATACTTCTCTCTACTTTTTATAGATCGATTTTCAATTGAAAACGTATTTCCTTCAGCAACGTTCGAAGGTGTCGTCGACGATGAAGACGTCCATGGGCGGACCATCTGCTCTCGCTGAACCAGCGTTCCAGCTGGTCGGCAGAGTGACTATCGATATCAATACAAGTGGTCGTAAGCTGGCGTTGCAGGAAGTGATGACGCCTTTGGAGGGACATGTTATTGTCAAAATGAAGAAGTGCGTAGTTTCCAACTCCCATTAGTATAGCTTTAGTTTTTTGAGTTATCTTTATCTTTAAATTTTAGGCACGCCACAGAGAAGAGCAATACGATCAATCGCGGTTTTCTTTCCATGTATCAACGCACAAGAGATGGTTTGGGAACGTGGAATCGGTAATGGTTTTTTCTGAATTTTATGAGCAAATATAGTGGTTTTTGTATCTGTTCCAGGTAACGCCAGAGTTCCTCAGTTAACCGTAAAGTAAAAATACCCAACAGGATGTCCATCCTCTCAGCGAGAAGGCAGAGACGCAGAACGGTCAGCGGACGAGTCGCAGCGCGTGCTGTGTGATGTGGGACGTACTATAGTACATTCTATTCAACTTGACGCGAAATCACTGCAGTACGCGCTGCGACTCGTCCGCTGACCCGTCTGCGTCTCTGCCTTCTCGCCGCGCGATGAGTCCCTCTCGGGTACCCGTAAAGTAGCGCACTTTTCTTTTTTCACGCATTGTCTTTTGTGAATATTGAATACTGGAAAATCCGCGAAATGTTTCCTAATTACCGTTCAAAAAGAATAATTCAAGTACTCAATTCAGGTACTGGTGTGTTCTAGAAGGTGGAGAAATGCGATTCTGGCGAAATCCTAATGATGAGCGGGATGGAAAGGTGAGTCCTGCTTGAATGCTAGTGCCCATTAAAATGTTTTTTTTTTTGAAAGTGCACGGTACCGAAGTAATGCTTACATCGAATGAATTAGACGGTGATGTTTTATACCTCCATTTTGAGCAAATTTTCAACTTTTTTCAGCAATGGGTTGTGTTACTGGATCTGCAAACGTGTGCAGGAGACGGAGCATCCACGGTTCGAGACGTATGCCCTTATCCAAATTCGTTTCATATCGACGTGTGGGTACCAAAAGAAGGAACTCCTCGAAGTAGTCCCGGCAGACCCGAACTGGAGAAGCTTCGGTGGGTTTTTTTTTCTGCGAATTAAACTCAAATTACTTCGGAAGCTATAAAATTATGGTTCGCAAAGTGTTTACTAACCTTACCGCCAAACTTAACTATTTCATTGTAGCGGTTTCTTCGACCGATTAAGAGTGCGAAGCACATGGCGTCGCAGAAGCTTTTCAACGAAAGTCGAAAGTTATGAAGGTTTTCTAATTTATAGGTAAAAAAGTAGCGGTGTCTCCACATTAATGCATGCCGGATTCAAATCCAGGCCGTGCCCCCGCACAAGCGTCACGTTTGTCTAGAAATCATTAGCGAAGGCGTCCTGAGCAGTGCTTTGCACTGTTCTGTCCACAATTCCGCACTCTTACGTTGTATCCGAAAATTTGAAATTTCGTCAACGAGCGCAATTAACGGTTGCGCTCAAATGCCCACGCCGCGGTTGAGCGGTTGAATAGGTATGAGTTGTTGTTTCAGAAAACAAACCTTGGGCAGGCGGTTAATGATCGAATAGTAATGAAAGAGAAGAAAGCCAACTGCCAAGAACTCTTCAATCACATTTTACGCTGGTCTTATAAGGGTTTTTCTATCCCGCTCCGACTTATCTTCTCATTGACTAGTCTTGCTTCTTTACGTATGGCAGTGTCACCAGGTGGGAAAGCAGAAGCGAGGTGAAGTGCACACCAGTGTTCGCGAGTTTCTTTTTTTTCTTTCTTTACTGGTTGTTTTTTTTATCATATCTTTTTTGCTCGGTATAGCCACAAATATTCGATCGCGAAATGGGCTTTCTTCAAATGTTACAAGATCGATGCCGCTAAGCGGCAATGGAACCAATATATACTGTCGCTATCAGTTATTTTCCTTCTCACGCAGTTTTGCAGGGTCATGTTGGCGGCTGACACTAGTGCTCATTTGGATAGCTGGCTGGAAGTCATTAATGAAACGGCACGTCATGTGCTTTTGTGGGACCGACCAAGTGGAATGCCGAGAAAAGATAAGGTTTAGATGCCAATATGAAGAAAGTAGCATTTGAGTTGTACATCCATTACGCATTCTTCAAGTAGATGAAGCTGTTGAGGCATGACTTCTATCGCTATTACCGTATCTCTCATTCGGTCTCCAGAGTGTTATTTGGAATTCATCTAAGGTGTTGATCTGTGAAATTATCATACAGTATTCCATCAGTTTTATCATTGTATCATAATTTTGTTTTTGAAGCAGAAACGCGGAGCATTTCCTGCTCGTCTGCGCACTCAACTCAATAATAAGTTATTGTTCAGGAATGTTTGCCGTTTTGGTTTTCATAATGTTTCCTCATTGATACTTATTGTCTCCTAAAACCTCTTATCCTCCGGTAATTTCTGTTGCTAGGATCAAAACCATTTTTCCATCGCTTTTCTCAGTAGCACCATTTTGACTCAAGCGAATTGATGTGATAATATCCAATGATTATCAACCTGCCATTTTATCTATGAGATCATGGATGAGAAACATTGTCTTCTGTAAAAATTCCCATCTGTACGTTACTAACAACTATATCTTTCTTTGTATAGGCATGCCGCTAATAGAAAGTTTTAAGTGTGTGATAAAGGTTTTCTAAGTAATTGTACGAGCCTTTTGTGGAACGTTCAATACGAATGGATACGATATTTAGAGCGTTTTCATTGAAATGATGTAAACTGTGGGAAGCGACGGCCAAGTTGCCGACCGAAGCGGTTTGTGAAGTCGAAGTCAGCCGCCATTCCGCTCAGGGCTTTGCAGCATCCAAAAAAGCTTGGAATGTCTTTTGATTTGAAGTTAGGTGACATTGTCGGTGACATACATTGCACAAAATTTTCCTGCTCTCTTGTTGCTTGGCTGGCACTACACCCATTTCTTTCCCAGTCACACTTCTTTTGTAACACCCTCGCCTACACATCAGCGTGTTGTTAGCTTGTTTTGGTCCCATCTTTTTAAATACTTCTGAGGGGCCTTTTTACCAGCCTCACCTCCATGGCAGCATTAACTCATTTCTCGTAAATTTACTGCACTAAAATGGCCTCATTCAATAGATCCTTGATGAGAGTGCTTTATTGAGTAACTTCAACTCTTCTACTGCTGCCGATGTCCTATTGTTCATTGTTCCATCATTTATATTGGCTTTCTAGTACCGAAGTTTATAAGTGCACGAAATCCGTGCTGTCCTTCAGCACGCTTAAAAAATCCAAAAATAGGGTGTAAACTTGGACTCATACTAATGGTATGGGAGCAGTACTATATACAAGGGCTCCTCGTATTGTTCGTAGACAGAATTGAGTGTGTTCGTCCATCTGTCGTAGAAGCAGTGTCTGAAAACTACATCAACTCTCATGGTAGACAACTTTTGGGGCCCGTATACTATCCCTACCCCAGGCCCCTAGGGGTGGGGGGGTGATTAAAAAATTTTCTGCAATTTGTTTTTGAACACTTATACGCTTTCTTTACCTCACCTTCACACAATTACAAAACAAGACTCTTTCTTAATGCGGCGCCGGAGAAGAGAAGGAAAATTCAAGGGGCTTATCGTCCCCCCCCCCCTGAAGACGGTTGGGATACAGCCCCTAAAGCAGGACGATCCCTGTAGAGGAGTTCTTACACGACACAATCGTCTAGCCCTGCGCTCTGACAGATGGGCAACCACAATCATTTTACCGTTGCTGAAGCTTTCGCCTACATGCAAAACGCGGAAAGGGCTCTTGGTGGGTGTGCACCTTTAGTCAGGATTGACCTTTCACACCTCCTCGCCGTGGTTATCTCGCACCACCCTGTAACCTGCCTCTGGGTGGACCTCGCTTAATTAGCTGAGCTGAGTGCTGACCCAACTCCGACAGACTCATTATAGAGGATATTGATCGATAATAAATTCATTTATGCAGTAGCGGTTGGAGAAACAGTAAAGCCGCGCGCGCAGTGAAACGTGGATAAGCCATGCTTCTGCCTTAGTCCCGATAATTACTAAGAGTTTATCCTAATGACATCAAATATACAATTAATATGTACGAGATCCAATGTACGGAACAGTAGGCACGATACTCATGACAATCGAGATAATGGCAAGGTATAATCATACAAAGAACTAAATAGCGAAAAGAACTAAATAGCGAGACAGGCACAAGCAAGGTTAAGGCGCAACAAACATGGTGACCAGAAATGACATGATCTCGGTAGGCCAGGGCATCGCCCCAAGAGATGGAAGAAGCGGGACCCGAGCGTCCTCGGTCCGTAGCTGAGGTCGACTCCTCGATAGCTCCTTCGGTCGCATCGCCACGCCCTGAAAGCATAGGATGAATCACACCAAAACATAATGACGCGCACTTGCATGGCGCGGCTTATCAAAAAATGGGAGCTAAAAATAAATTAATTTTTAGCTAATAGCATTCGCAGTGCAAGCCGTTTTCCACGCAGAACAGTAACAGTTCCAAGCATAACAAAACACTACAATTGTTTGTCTCCATGTCGTCCTTTGTTGAAAAAGGAGGCCTAAAAGGGCAAGAAGACCCGAAGCCCGGAGGACCTCGCCGCCTACCAAAACCTGCCGGAGTTGCGATGGCTGCGCGTCGCAAAGACGAAGGGAGACCCATGAGTGGATGACGCTAGTACGAGAAGTTGGAAAGCCTACGAAGCGGTCGAAACGTAAGGCCAGTAATTGTGGCGTACAGTACAAAAATAATTGCAGTACACTACAATTGTTTGTGTTTGTCCATCTCAAGCATGTTCTCAAGCTACTTCTACAGCAGTCCTCTGCATGACTCATTCACTTACCAACTTCTAGCAGATTCGGCTACAACTGGCGCTCCACTATTGGGAAATGCAGATCAACCGCCTGCTCCACCTCTTCAGGCCGACGTCATACTTTGCGAATCGTTAGCGATTCATCAGCGATTCGCTCGATTCGCAAAGGTATGACGTCGGCCTTACATGGATTCCAGTGCACTTCCTTTGTACAGCACCACTACTGTGTCAGTGTCTGCTATCACTCTGCGTGGCTTCTACTCCTTGTCCCCTCTCCCAGTCTTGGTAGATTGGGTTGCCCAGCATGCCAGTCCGTTTTAGGAACGGGTCCAAGTTTGTATCCTACTTCCCCTCTCTCCAATGTTCAATTGGGTCGTCATCAGTACTTACCTGTATCTCAAATTTCATACATCTCATTAACTTTCATCCAATTTCCGTGAAAACTTGCTTCGCTTTCCGAAAAACAGCAATGTCCTAGCCAGTATAATGAAATGCGACCCCTCTCGTTGAACTTGGCACACAGTACAATTGACCTCCTCTAAAGTTGTAGCTGTGGTGGTTTGATTGAAGCTTCTATTACAGGGTACGGAGTGTCATGGGGTTACACGACATTTGGACCATAACGGTCTATCATTCGAAGTTTTGCATGAATTGCTACATCAGGCAAATCATGAGCGCCAATCCATATTGAAGACTGTTTTTTTTCTAATAATTCTTCACTTAGATGTCCACAGTGAAGCAACGCTACGACGCCGTTCGACCACGAGAACGTGTGAATTTCGGTGGATTTCAATTTGTGATCCCCTCCCCGAATTTTCAAATGCCTAAGTTTCAATGCTGCAACGGTGCTCACGAAGGAGTCGCGGAGCCTGAACATGAGACCGATAGTTTTGATCTCAGCGAATGCGTCAAAGAGGTAATATTGTGCTGTCACAAAGAGAATCTGTGAATATGCCAGAATAGGGTTTACATTCGGCTGTCAGTAGTGTTTTAGGTTACGCTCGCCTTCTTCGATGGGGAATTGAGCAGGAGAATGACCAATTTTTTTCAAAAGTATTTCTTTAGGTTCCAAAGCATTGCCGGTGTCACGTCTTCTACACATACAGCACCAAGGACAGCAAATGTGACAAGTACGGCTTGCACGCCATCCACAAGTCAAGCTTCTATGGTTCCAAAAGTGATACCATCTGCGGCTTCCGTGGTGAGAAGCGTCAGCGCTGCAACAGCTCACAGCGTTGTTACGATCCCTTCAAAGTCATCCTCGTTTTCGGAAGCGCCGATAAGTTCGAATGTAGTATGTTCCCGTAATTTTTTCTCATTTTTTTTCAATTTTTGTCTCGATGTGGGCATTCAATGTGGAAATCCTCTCTGGCTCGATGGCCTTCCAATTTGAATTTGACCAGTCTGATTCAGAGTAATCGTGTCAACAAATCGCCGATTATGCTCAGCAGAAATCTTTGAATACCGTGTCAAGTATGTTCTCTACTTTGTTAAGATTTCATGCCATCAACCAT